TCCATTAATCTGGGTAATGTATATTTTTGTAAATATTCATCCATTTCATTAAGATTGTTCAATTTATTGGCATACACTTGGGCAAAATAACTCCTAATTATTGTTCTGATTTCCTCTTCATTGGTGATGAATTCACCTTTTTCATTTTTGCTGTTGTTAGGTTTATCTATTTTATTGGTTTTTTTCCCATAAAATCAGCTCTTAGTTTTATTTATTAGTTCAATAGTTTTCTTAATTTCAATTTTATTAATCTCTCCTTTGGTTTTCAGAATTTCTAATTTGGTATTCAATTGGAGATTTTCAATTTGTTCTCTTTCTAGCGTTTTTAGTTGCATGCCCAATTCATCGATTTCTTCTTTCTCTATTCATATAAGCATTTAGAGATATAAAACTTCCCCTAAGGACCACTTTTACTGCATCCTGTAAGTTCTGGTATGTTGTCTCATTATTGTCATTCTCTTATTGATTGTTTCTATGATTTGTTGTTTCACCCACTCATTTTTTAGGATTAGATTATTTAGTTTCCAATTATTTTTAAGTCTGTCTTTCCATGGCCTTTATTACATGTAATTTTTATTGCATCATGATCTGAAAAGGATGCATTTAATATTTCTGCATTTCTGCACTGGATTGTGAGGTTTTTATGCCATAGTACACGGTCAATTCTGTAGATGTCATGTACCATTAAGAAAAAGGTATATCCCTTTCCGTCTCCATTCCATTCTCTCCAGAGGTCAACCATATTTAACTTTTCTAAGATTCTATTGATCTCTTTAACTTCTTTCTTGTTTATTTTGTGGTTAGATTTATCTAGTTCAGAGAGGGGGAGGTTGAGGTCCCCCACTAGTATAGGTTGTGGTCTATTTCTTCCTGTATCTCCCTTAACTTCTCCTTTAAGAATGTGGCTGCTATACCACTTGATGCATATATGGTTAGCAATGATATTACTTCATTATCTATGGTACTTTTTAGCAGGATGTAGTTTCCTTCCTTATCTCTTTTAATTAGATCTATTTTTGCTTTTGCTTTGTCTGAGATAAGGACTGCTACCCCTGCTTTTTTTTTTTAATTCAGCTGAAGCATAATATATTCTGCTCCAGCCTTTTACCTTTACTCTGTGTGTATCCCTCTACATCAAATGGGTTTCCTGTAGACAATATATTGTAGGTTTATGGTTCTTAATCCACTCTGCTATCCGTTTCCGTTTTACAGGAGAATTAATTACATTCACATTCACAGTTATGGTTACTATCTGTGTCTTCCTCTCCATCCCATCCCCCTTTCCACTCACTTATGCTTTTTTCTCTCCTTTTTCCCTTTCCCTCCTCAGTAGTTTTGGTTTCGACCACCATCTCCCTCAGTCTGCCCTCCCTTCTATTAGCCCCCTCCATTTTCTTTTCCCTTTACCCTTTCTATCTCCTATAGGGTAAGTTAGATTTCTGTACCTGATTATGTTATTCCCTCTTTGAACCAAACGTGTTAAGTGATAAGAGTAAGGTTCAAATAATGCTCATCTCCCTCCCTTCTTTCCCTTTACTGTATTTGGTTTTTGTGCCTATACATGGGATGTAATTTATCCTTGTCTGCCTCCTCCTTTCTTCTTCTCCCAGTACAATTCCTTTTCACCACTTAATTAGATTTTTTACCATCACATCGAAGTCAACTTAAACCCAAACTCTCTAAGTATATCCCCTTTTAAATGTCATAATGACATTACAGTTCTTAAGAGTTACAAGTGTCATCTTACCTCATAGGGATGTAAACAGCTTGATAATATGATGGGTTTTTTTTTTTCTTTCCTGTTTACCTTTTTATACTTCTCTTGAGTCTTGTATTTGAAGGTCAAATTTTTTGTTGAGCTCTGGTCTTTTCATCAGGAAGATTTGGAAGTACCCTGTTTCATTGAACGTCCATCTCCTCCCCTGAAAGATTATGCTCAGTGTAGCTGCATAATTGATCCTTGGTTGTAATCCAAGCTCCTTTACCTTATGGAATATTGTATTCCACACCCTCCAATCTTTTAATGTAGAAGTTGCAAGGTCGTGCATAATCCTGACTGTTTCCATGATATTTAAATTGTTTCTTTCTGGCTACATGCAGTACTTTCTCTTTGATCTGGTAGTTTTGGAATTAGTTACTATACTCTTTGGCGTTTTCAATCTGGGATCTCTTTCAGGAGGTGATCGATGGATTCTTTCCATGACTTATTTGACCTCTGGCAGGGCAGTTTTCTTTGATGATTTCCTGGAGGATGTTGTCCAGATTCTTTTTTCATCATGGTTTTCCGGTAGACCAATAATTTTTAAACTATCTCTCCTAGATCTATTTTCCAGGTCAGTTGTTTTACCAATGAGGTATTTTACATTTTCTTGTATTTTTTCATGCTTTTGCTTCTGTTTGACTGATTCTTGATCTCTCATAGTCATTAGCTTCCACTTGCCCCATTCTAATTTTTAAGAAGTTGTTTTCTTCTATTAGATTTTGCACCTCCTTCTCCATTTGGCCAACTCTACTTTTTAAGGATTTGTTTTCTACAGTTAATTTTTGTCCTTCCTTTTCTAAGCTATTGACTCTCTCTTGTAAACCTCTCATTTCTTTTCCCAATTTTTCTTCTACCTCTCTTATTTGACTTTTAAAATCCTTCTTGAGCTCTTCCAAGAAGACTTTTTGGGTTTGAGACCAATTCATATTCCCCTTTGAGGGTTCAGATGTGGGTAAATTGACAATGTTATCCTCTCCTGAATTTGTGTTTTGATTTTCCCTTTCCCCAAATTAAGAATTTATAGTCATTTTCCGTTTCTGCTTTTTGTTCATGATGTTTGCCTATTCTCTGACTTTTTACCAAAAAAAAACTGTTGAGTTCTCCTGCTGGAGTGAAAGGGGCACTTACCCAAGCTTCTTTTCCTGCTCACTGGAGCCTTGCACTTGAATGTTTGGCTCCTGGTTGCCCAGGCTTTGCACAGGGATATTTTGCTGATGGTGGGTTTCTGTCAGCCTAGAGCTTTCTTTCGGGAGTTGTGCTTCCCAGAGTTGTGTTGAGGCACCAAGTGATTTCACAACTGGAGATCACCACTGCATGTGGTCGTTTTCCAAGCTGGAGTCTACCAGTTCCCCTTCCCTAAGGTTCTCAGGGGTCCTGGGGTTGGCACTTGCCTGTTCCACCAACCTGGGTCTCAGGATCTCCCCCTGGTATGCTGAGGTGGGGCTTGCTAGGACATCTCCAATCCTGTACTGCTCCCTCTCCCCTAGAGTGAGAAAGGCCTTTCCTATTAATCGCCCAAGCTTCCTGGGGTACAAGACTGCTGTACCCTGTCTTTTTGCTGGCTCAGGGTTTTCCTGAGTCGCTATTTTTTAAGCTTTCAGAGGCCAATGAGGGAGGGTGAGAGCAACTTACTTCATACTCCGCCATCGTGGAAAAGACCTGACTGAGCTATTCTCAACAATACAATGATACAAGGAAACTCTGAAGGACTTATGAAAATTGCTATCTATCCTCAGAGAAAGAACTGACAGTGTCTGAAGACAGTTTGAAGCTTTTTTTACTTCCTTTATTTTTCTTGAGTTTTTGTTGCTATTGTTTGTCTGTTTTCTTTTACAACATGACTATTATGGATGTTTTGCATGACTATACATCTATAACCTATATCAAATTGTTTGCCTTCTCAATGGCGGGAAGGGGATGGGAAGTGAGGAAGGGAGAGAATTTGGAACTCAAGGTTTTAAAAATCAATGTTAAAAATTGTTTTTACATGTAATTGGGGAAAAATAAAATACTAAATTTAAAAAAGAAAAAAGAGTGGGTCTCTATTATGCTGAGGTAAGGAGAGAGCACATTTCAGGCATGTGGATAGTCAGTGCTCAGACACAGAGACATGAAGTGTCATAGGTAAGCAAGAGAGAGAAAGCTAGGTTAGCTAGATCAGAGAGTGCCAGAGGGGAAGTAATGTCCAATGATGCTGGAAAAATAGGTTAGACCAGATTATAAAGGTCTTTAAAAGATAAACACGGGAGAAAGCCCTTGGCATTGACTAAGGAGAGAAATTACACAGTCAATTTGTACTTAAGGAAAATTACTGTAGCAGCACTGTGAAGGACAAAGTAGAATGTCAAGACTTGAAACAAGAAGATCAATTAGAACGCTACTGCAATAATCTTGGTGAGAGGTGATGAAAGTTTAAACTAAAGTAAGAGCTGTGTGATTGGAGAGAAGGGATCAAATGTTAGAAATACTGTGGATATAGAAAGGTAAAATTTGGCAACTGATTAGATATGGAGGATAAAAGGGAGTAAGGAGTCAAGGATAATAACGTTGAAGTTACAAACCTGGCAGAATTTTTCAGAGATTATTGCATTTTAAGTCTTAGAGCCATAAAATAAACCTACAGACTATGAGTATTCAAAAGATAGGTCTTTTTTTCTAACCCATGAAACAAATAATTATTATATGAATAAAATAACAGGGTAGCTAGATGGCACAGTGGATAGAGTGCTGGGCCTGGAGTCAGGAAGATTTATGTTCGTGAGCTCAAAATAAAGAAAACAAAACAAATGCTTTTTTTGGTATCCTTAGCTCCCCAGTCTCAGTTCACTTTGAGCATTGGAACTCCTGCAGTGGATGGAGTGCCATGCCTGAAGTCAAGAAGACTCATCTTCCCTGAGTTTTAAATCTGGCCTCAGACACTTACTAGCTGTGTGACCCTGAGCATGTCACTTAACTCAGTTTCGTCATCTACAAAATGAGCTGGAGAAGGAAATGGCAAACCACTGCAGGATCTTTGCCAAGAAAACCCCAAATGGGGTCACAAAGAGTTGGACACAACTGAAATGACTGAACTACAAAATAAAATTTCATAATCCTCTATGTGGAAAGTCAGATAGGTAAACAGATAGACAAGCTTAATGAACATCATACTAAGTACACATTGTCATAGAAGTAATTTACTGTTCTAAAAAATTAATCATTAAAAAGTTACACCAAATACTATGACGTTTATCTTTACCTGTTTCCATTTTTATCATGAAGTCCAGAACCCCAATACTTAGGAACACCCAGGTACTTCAGTTTATGGGAATGAATCCACTTTTGAACTACAAGTTAAAAAAACCAAAGTTTATTATATGTAAATACAAATAAAAGTCTCTTACCAAAAAATGTACAAATTCACTTTATACATAAAAAAATCAAACTATTTGTTAATAAAACAATAACTAAGAATATAAAGATTGAGAGTTAATTTACTATCCTGAAGCAGAAGTTTTGGAAAATTTTGTATGCATATCCCTAGCAAAGGCAAATTTGATTAGATCACAAAGTATGGAGGGGGAGTAATATAAAATGAGACTAGTAAGGAAGGCTGGGGTCAAGTTGTGTAAGTCATTAAGAGCTAAACAAACGAATTCATATTTGATCCTAGAGGCAATAGAAAAAAATATGTAAAAATAAATGAAAGTTTTATAATAAAACAAGATGTAGTGTGGGTTCAGGTAATGTAGAAAGAACTGACAAATGAAAAGAAAATTCACATTAAAATATGCAATAAATATCTTACTTAGCTCTGGTTTAGCTGCTCTCTGGTAGAACTTTAATTCTGTAAAAAGAGGTCCATTGTCACTTGGTTCCTTAAAATACAAATTATTTTAAATTAGTTCTACCATTTCAAATTGAGATTTTCTCTATTAAAAATTAACAAGAAAATTATTCTAACTTTAATTTGTCTGGCACATAGACAATATCTATTGATAATTAAGCTTATCTCCAAACTTTGATTAAATCCAATACAGTAGAAAATTTTAAAATGTGTTTAGAACATTCTGAGTCTCACTTTTCCCCTAACTCCTATAAAGGAATAAAATGGTGTAAAAACCAGATAAGCGGGCTCAAACTTTTTAAGAAAAATTTGTGGTACTTAAAAAAAAATACTCATTCATTTTTTGTTTTCACCTCACTTTTATTTCCCAATTTATCCCCTTAACTAACTACAAAGATACTCTTGTAACTAAGAAGAAAAAGAATATAAAGCAATTAAAAAAAACTAACCAACACATATTGTCCCAGTTTGACAATATATGAAATATTCTAGCAATCATCTACCACATTTGCAAGGAGATTATTAAATCTTGATCATTAAAATCACACATCATTCAATTTCAGTTTTGTTGTCATTATGTAGAGTTTTCCTACCTTTGCTCACTTCATTCTGCACCAGTACATATAAGTGTGCCCTTGTTTCTTCAAAATTCTTTGGTTTTCTCTTTTGACAATGCAGCAACATTCCATTACATTTCCTAATTAATGGGCATTTGAGTCATACTTCATTTTAAACTGACCCTGACAGGGGCAGCTAGGTGGCACAGTAGATAGAGCACCAGCCCTGGAGTCAGGAGAACCTGAGTTCAAATCCGGCCTCAGACCAAACACTTGACACTTACTAGCTGTGTGACCCTGGGCAAGTCACATAACCCCAACTGCCTGAAAATAAGAAAGAAAAAAAAAAAACTGACCCTGACACTCACTAATTTTAGTCTGAAGAGAGGTCAACAACCTCTTTTAGGTATAAATGCCAACTGTGGGCTGGCCTAGTGTTTCAGACAAAATTTCACTCCTTAATTTATCACAAAAGAAGAGAATTTAAGAATTGAATGGGAATTCAGAGTCATCTAGTCAAATTCATACCTGACCATGAATCCTCTCAAGTTGGATACCAAACAAGAAATCATTTAGCTATTCCTTGAAGCAAAGAGGAGCCTAGAACCTCCAAAGGCTGTCTATTGCTCGTCTGCATAGTTCTAGCTATTTGGAGATTTTCCTTAACTAAAGACCCAGCTTATCTATTTACAAATTCTACCTATTGCTCTGAGACTTACAGTCCACTAAAACTCCTACATTTTTTTCAGACAAACTACTACCTAACCACATCTTTTTTTTTGGAAAGCTGTGTGTGTGTGTGTGTGTGTGTGTGTGTGTGTGTGTGTGTGTGTGTGTGTGTGTGTGTGTGTGTGTTAAACCAAAGTATATTACTTTACATTTATCCCTAATAAATTTCATCTTTTTGGAGTAAGCCCAGTCAGTTTGTCACAATCTTTTTGGATTCCAACTCTATAATCTAATGAATGAGGTTTTCCTATGTCTTTTTCCAAGAAAGTAAATAAAATATTAAAAAATGTGGGGCCAAACAGAGATCTATGGCACAGTGCTCCACTGAAGACTTTTCTGAAGTTGTCATCAAACCACTAATGACTACTCTTTGGGTCTGGTCATGCAAACAGTAGGAATATACCTAACTATACTAGAATCTAGCCAAAATTTTCCATCTTTTTAACTTCATATATATTTTTTGCATTTACCTATGACCATACATATTGTTTCCCTCAGTTGAATGTGAGCAACTTTGTATCCCTAATGCCTTTCACATAGTAGGCATGTAATAAATACTTGTTGACTTCAAATACTTTAAAAGATGCTTTAGTAAAACCTAGGTAAACTATATCTACATCATTCTCTAGGTCTTTAGTCTAGTAATTCTGTAAGTAAGGGAAATTCAATTAATTGTGCAAGACTTTTTCTTGATAAAGCATTACTGGCACTGTGTTAATACTGGGGGAAAAATTTTTTTAAAAGGCAAAAAGTTGTTGTCTTCCAGAAGCATGCATTTTAATGGAGAGATAATACATATGTAAATAGGTACATATAAGATAAATAGAGTAGATGGAAAGTAATTTTAGACGAAGTCTGGTCCCAAAGAAGAGAGATGAGAATGCACCTCCTTCCTTTCTTTGCAGAAGTCGGGCACTGTAAGTGTGGAACACTGCACGTAACTTAGGAATTGGTTAATGTATTGGTTAATTTTACTAAACTGCATTTTATTCTCTTACTTTTGTATTCTGTGCTTTAAAGATGAGTTCTCTGAGTGGAAGAAGAGGAGATTTGTAAATATAGGTAATATAAAAACAAAAAGGAGGGTTGTTTTTTTTTTAATTACACTCTAGAATTTTACCAGGAATTGAATTTAAGTTCAGTGACCAATAGTCTGCAGATTGCATTATCTTTGCTTTTTCGAAAACTAGAAAGATATTTATTCTTCCTCAGTTCCAGATTCTCCATCATCTTTAAAAAATTACTGACAGTGGGCTCAGCAATCACATCTGGCCATTCACTTAGTACCCTTGAATGCAGTTAAATCTAGGACTAGTGACTAGAAATCATCAAGGAGAGAAAGATGTCCTCTTATTATCTCTCTACTTCTCTTGGACATCAACAATTACCCCTTTTTGTTCTGTCTTCCTATTCCAAAGTTCATTCTCCTCAACAGAGTCAACAGATAAAAAGTAATAATTGATCTTGTCAACTATAACAGCCAATGATATATTTGTCTATTACTCAAATTTAAAGGACACATCCCTCTTTTCTGTTAATAACTGATAAATTGTTTTCAGGAAATGTGCTTTTTATCACTTTTTATTTGGGTATTTGTTCAGAAGTATCTACTATGTACAAATAAAATATAGCCTAATTCTTTGAAAATCTGAGCAGCAATGCCTTCTCTTTATTACCCACTCTCATTGTCCTATCTACTCTGAACAGAAGTTCTGAATCACACTTATTTTCCCTTATTTATCAATAAAGCAAAAAAAGAAAAGGAAAAATAACTTTTTTTTTTTTTAGTTTTCCTCAATAATCTCAGCTCAATCTAAATTTGGTAAACCTGAAATCTTTAAATAATTGGACCATGCTTTTGTATTCATTTTCTTACTTGACCATCCAGGAATATTCTACACATTTTTTAATGTTCTTTTGTTTTTTCTTCCTTTAAATTTCTGTTTATTCTGAGACTAACCAATACCAAAAGAAAAAATTAGCATATCTACATATAAAATAGAACAGAAAAAAAAAAACCACAAATGAACTTAGTAACCTCTTACTTAATAAACTCAAAGACCCCAGTTCTTCAATAAGGACTCACTATTCAATAAAAACTGCTGGGAAAACTGGAAAGTAGTATAGCAGAAATTAGGTTTAGACCAACACATCCCACTACATACCAAAATAGATTCTAAATGGATGCGTGACTTAGATATAAAAAGGTCATATCATAAACAAATTAGAAGATTAAGGAAGAAATTTCCTTTCAGTTCTATGGACAGACGTCTAGGAGCAGAGCCAACATAGCAGAGTAGAGGAAGTATTACAGTCAAGCTTTCCCAACATTCTCCTCCAAACAACTTTAAAATAATGCCTCAAATTGAATTCTGGAATGGCAAAGCCAACAAAAGGTCAAGATGAGACATTTTTCAAATCCAAGACAATTCAGAAGGTCGGAAAGAGAGATTTGTGACACTGGGGTGATACCTGGTCCACAGCCCACATAGTGGCAACACCAGCCTTGGAAGTGGCTGCAGCAGCAGCAGCAGCAGCAGCAGTAACTTCAGGAGCAACCAAACCAGCAAAAGTAAGGAGACGTGGCAATTAGTCAGAAAGAGACAACAGCAGATCCCTTTGCTAGCACTGGGTGTAGGACCAGGAATTTGGCAATTTCATTCCCTATATCTACTTCTAGGTCACAGTGCAAGGGCAGAAAGGAACACATTTGGTCACAAGGAAGCAGGGACCCTCAGGAACAATATTTCTTGAGGTTAGAAGGGATCAGGAGCCTTTTCTGGATAAGGACTAGAGCCTAGATCTGGAGAGCAGTAAACACACCTCTTCCCAGATAACATCATGTTGGCAGCACTGAAAACTTCCAAACCCCCAGAACTATGCAAGGAACACAGCCTATCTTTAACATTAAAGTCCAAAATCAATAAATAGGCTGGAAAAATGTGCAAAAAAAACCCAAAACCCTAACTATAAAAAGCTACTAAGGTAACAGAAAAGATAAAGACACAAAATCAGAAGACAATGATGTCAAAATAACCATGACCAAATTCTCAAACAAAAAAAGTGAATTGGACACAAGCCCAACAAGAATTGCTAGAAAAGCTAAAACATAATAGCAATAATGCTTAAATAGAAGACAATTAACTGGGGAAAAAAATCTCGTTCTAACAGAAAGTCTCATTTCCAGCATAAATAAGGAACTGATTTAAATTTATAGAAACGAACCATTCCCCAATTTAACCATTCCCCAATTTATCAAAGGATATTAATTGGAAGTTTTCAAAAAAAAGAAAGTCAAGCTCTCAATAGCCATAAGAAAAACTGCTTCAAATAAGTAACAAAGAAATGCAAATTAAAACCAATTTGAGGTTCCACTTTATTCCCCTCAGATTGGCAAAGACAACAAAAAAGGGAAAGGTGACAGTTGTCTGCGGGGCTAAGGGAAAACAAGCACACTAAGATACTGTTGGTGGAGCCAAGAATTGACCCAGACATTCTGGAAAGCAATTCTGAACTATGCCCAAAAAGTCACTAAACTGTGCGTACCCTTTCACGCAGCAATACCACTACTAAACCTATAGTACCACCACCACCCCATACTCCTACACAAAGAGAATAGAAAAAGAGAAAAAGGAAAAATATGCGCAAAATAGTTACAGCAGCTCTTTTCCTAGTGGCAAATAACTGGAAACTAAGAGGATGCCTAACAACTGGGGAAGGGTTAAACAAATTGTGGTATATGAAC